AATTCACTTTGTCCATAAGTCAAAAAGCCACACCCCCCTTTTTTGTCCACAGTGAACAGCAGCAGCTCAGGTGGTGGAGTAAAGCACAAAAAGAATAAAGGTTAGTAACACCATTAATGTTACATTACATTCTATTGTTTTCTTCACAAGTCAAAAGCCCATACGCACCTTTTTTGTCCAGTGAACCTGTGAGAAGTAACAATTGGTTAGTAAAATGGAAAATCTTTATTACTTGGTAATATTAATATATAAATATAATTATATGGCTAAACAGGAAAAGCATGGAATTAGAATTGTACTTATCTTTTTCATCCATACAAGGTGAATGGTCAGGTGGTCCTTTGTTAAATCAGGGCTGATGGGTTGAGTTTCATTTTCTCCGATTCACATAACCTCCACTGAATTCTAAAGTGCTACATGTCAGCATGCTGTGTGTGTCAATGGGCCCTTCTGATACTTGTATGTGTCTCCACCCCCCCAGTGATGAGAAAGATACCTGCCCTGCCAGACGTAAATGACAGTCCCCAAGGTGAAAGAAATGTCGATCCAACTACTGTGCCAAAATGTTGATGACGATAGTAGAAAAAGGTCCCAGTGCTAAACACTACATGGGGTGTTGATAGCCCCACCAGACATAAAGACTACATGCACAGGGTGTTGACAGCCCTGCCGGACATCAATTACAGTCCCCAGGGTGAAAGAAATGTCGATCCAACTACTGTGCCAAAATGTTGATGATGATAGTAGAAAAAGGTCCCAGTGCAAGACGCTACATGGGGTGTTGACAGCCCTGCCAGACGTAAATGACAGTCCCCAAGGTGAAAGAAATGTCGATCCAACTACTGTGCCAAAATGTTGATGATGATAGTAGAAAAAGGTCCCAGTGCAAGACGCTACATGGAGTGTTGATAGCCCCACCAGACATAAAGACTACATGCACAGGATGTCAACAGCCCTGCGAGACGTAAATGACAGTCCCCAAGGTGAAAGAAATGTCGATCCAACTACTGTGCCAAAATGTTGATGATGATAGTAGAAAAAGGTCCCAGTGCAAGACGCTACATGGGGTTTCACAAGCTCTGCCAGACACAAAAGCTACCTGGGGCTTTGCTTGCCCAGCCAGATACAAGGGCTAGTCCTCAGGCTTAAAGAGGCTCAATTCAATGAACATAACCCACATTATGATAAGGTAGCGATAGGCCCCAGTGCAAGACGCTACCCGGAGTGTCACAGGCACTGCTAGATGCAAAGGCTACATGTAGGCCAAGTGAATTGCTGGTCCTGCCAGCCGCAGAGGCCAGTGGTAAAAAGGATCACTGTGGCTATCCTACCAGATACTTTGGTTTGATACCAGTGGTGTGGATCGTCAGCCCTGTGGAGTGCTGTGGAGCTAGTCTGAGCTGCTCTCATCAGACCACCTTGGCCTCTTAGCAGCAGGCTCCTCCTCCTCCTCGCTCTCTTCCCGGTTCCTCCTTGTCAAATCAAATCAAATCAAAATTTATTTATATAGCACATTAAAAACAACATCTGGTTGACAAAAGTACTTTACAAGGACAAGTAAGAACTAAAATAAATATCAATACAGGAATAAAACAAAATAGGAACACAAACACATGAATTATACAGAATCAATAGTTAAAAGAAGGAAGCATCAGACAATACTATGTATTAAAAGCCAAAGTGAATAAATATGTTTTAACCAATGATTTAAAAATTGTCAAGTCTGTAGATGATCTAATATTGGAAGGTAAACTATTCCACAATTTAGGAGCTGCAACAGTAAAAGGACAGTCACCCCAGAGTTTGTATTTGACCCTGGGAACCTCTAAAAGAAACTCTAAAAGAAAAGAATACCTGGAAGACCGGAGGCCAGAAGTTGAGGGAGCTGGAGAATCTTCATCCAGAGAGCTGCCTAAACACTCCTGTGAGCTGAGCGACCCAAATGTCTCAGGTACAGGGATCTCCTCCACACCAGCGGCATCAAGTCCCTGGTCTGGCTGCTCAGGAGCAGAAGGGGCTGCATCAAAGAAGGCAACAGGGTAAATGTAAGGGTAAGCGTAAGGGTAAGCATAAGGAGCATAAGCAGCAGCGTATGGAGGAACATAAGCAGCGGCATAAGGAAAAGCATGAGGAGTATAAGGAGGGGCATAAGGAAAAGCATTAAAAAGCTGATAAGGATTAGCATAGGGAGAAGGATAAAGGGGAACAGGACGAATAACAGGACCCTGCTGAAGTGGATTCAGTTCCTCCTCTCTTCCCTCTTCTCTCCTGCTCCTGGGACGCTCGTCGTCGTGACCCTCACCACCTCCTCCATCTCTATGAGGCTCAGCCACCTGAAACACATCATCATCTAAACCAACAACATCTATTATCTCTTCCTCCTCTTCTTGGCCATCGGGGGGCAGTGGGGAGTTGTTGATGATCCTGTTCTCTTCAGCATCAGGAAGCTTGGTGTCATCATTGGAGGGTGAAAAGAAGCTACCTTTAAATATAACATAAAAAGTTACAAAACAGGCTTAAACAGGCGATGTAAAAGTCTAATATCATTACATTGCATAAATACTGTTATATACATACAATACATTAACCAGTCCCCTCCAGGATTCTACTATGTCACAATCTCAACAATCAATGCAAATTCAAACAACCCCTGAGAATTCTCCACAGTCACATAGTTTGGTCCAATCACCACAAGTTTAGCGCAAATTTGACCAATAATCATAGTTATTATAGTAATAATCAAGTTACATCTGTCATAGCAATCTCCTCTTCAAAACACTGAGTCCTATGTCACCAAACTCACTTCCTTGTTGTAGGTTGTTAGGCTGCACACTGATTTGTTTTGCACTGTGTGCAATATTGTAGTGGAACAAAAATGAAAGATATCACTGACAAATATTTTTCTACTGCAAAACACATGCAGATATTGGCTGCGTGTGTGTCTGTGCGCGCATATGAGGACATTAGTTTAGGAATAAAAAGTCTCAAAATGTCTAAACATGGTGTAAAAGATTTAGTCAAAATATCAGGTTGGATGTGTAATGAAATCAGAGATATGTGTGTGTATGTGTAAGTGTGAGAGAGAACGAGACGCCACTGAGTGAGGCAGAGGATGGTTCAATGAAAATAAGATTACTTAGAACACAATGAGTTTTATTCTTACTGGAACAAGTTGCCTTAGGTTTTGTAATGAATTATACAAAAAAGCTCTACATGCATCACAATTTAAAACAAAAAATGCTGCAAAATCAGGCATTTTAGGCGACAATCGCAGAAAAATCCCCAAAAAATCCTGGAGGGACTGACTGTGAAAACTGTACTACACCACTTGCATCACAAGCACCTTGTAGACAAGCCTTCAACACATGAAGAACCACTACCACTTAATGTAGTACAAATATTGTGCAGTTCTGTTCTGTTACTGCTGTTTTGGACTTACTGTGTTGGCAGGACAAGTCATATTATAATATTATAATAAGAATGGCTATACGTCTTATTAACTAACCCTAATACCTAACTTAGAACAATTTAGCAGAGGCTAACAGCGCATGTAGCCACAGCCAAAGGGGAGACAGGTAGACTAACATTTCTGATATTCAATCATGTATCCATATTGACTTGTTTAACTTGGCTGACAAAGGAATTAACAGAGCTCACTCTTTTTCATTGATGAGACTATTTTTTACAAGCTTAGCATGCTTGTTGATAAGCTTAAGGGTGGGCTATTGCCTAAGTTAGGCTGCTTGGTGAGACTGTTTTTGCTAATTACATCAACACTAGCTGAAAAGGACTTGTTTAATTATGCCTGTATTTGAAAGCAGTGCAAAAGAATGTAAACAGTAGTAGCCTGTCCTGATGTTATGTTATGTCCTGAATGCAGGTCACAGAACACGTGGACGCTCAGTTTGTGCGAGGTACTAGCACTTCACTTGAGTATTTCTAGTTTGTGCTACTTTATATTTCTACTCTAGCAACAGTTACAAGGTACTTTGCTGATTAAGAATCTACATTTAAACTTATGAAATACAGTAAGTTGTAAGTTATAACCAGTGCTTCTAAACCTCAGGTACTTGTCACTCCTTAATGAAAAGAAGTGTCTAGTTGATGTCACTTCTCACAATTCACAAATCTTTGAGTTGTTAACAGTTCTAATAATGATATTCCCTCTAAATGCTATTAAGGGTTTAATGTGCCATGTCCTCATGAAGGAAGAGTCTCCGTTATTTTGTACAACAGCAAATTTCAGCATAGCCCAAAAAATGTAAATGTGTCAGAATATTATGAGTTTTTTGTTCCTGTTCCTTTAATCATCTCAGAACTGAATGATCTCATGACCCCTGTATTTACCATAGTTATAACTAACTCCATCATGACCAGCAACAAAATTACAATGCTCTTTATACATAGTTGCAATGCCATATCAGTAACAGGGGACGTTGTACTGCAGAACGAGTATTTTTACTTTTGACACTATAAATGAATTTTTTTGATGATACTGGCAGTATGCACTTCTGATCAAGAAGAAGTTTGAATGCAGGAATTTTTCTTTTAATGGAGTATTATTACATCATCAAATTAGCACTTTACTTAAAGAAAAGATCTGAATAAGTAATTCACCGCTGGTCAGAGTGTTTCTGTCTCCAGCACTCCCTGGTTTATGATAAGCTGTGTAAATTACAGAAATATCAGCCTGATAATCACATTTACTTCCTGTGGTGAAGGAAGTATCACAGTAAAATATGTTAGTTAAATAAAAGTGCAGTATCCTCATTTAAAATTGCTCCATTACAAGTAAAAGTCTTACTCACCTACTTACTTTAAAGTATTATGGATAAGATGTACTTAAACTGTGAGTGTTTCTGTCTCCAGCACTCCCTGGTTTATGATAAGCTGTGTAAATTACAGAAATATCAGCCTGATAATCACATTTACTTCCTGTGGTGAAGGAAGTATCACAGTAAAATATGTTAGTTAAATAAAAGTGCAGTATCCTCATTTAAAATTGCTCCATTACAAGTAAAAGTCTTACTCACCTACTTACTTTAAAGTATTATGGATAAGATGTACTTAAACTGTGAAAATGTAAAACTACCTAATATGCAGCAGAATGGATCCTGACATATTGTCGCATTTATCATTAGATTTTTCCTGTACTTATGCATTAATTTCTAAATAGCTTTTTAATTTTGTAGCTGATCGGAACTGAACTGATATTAACTAGCTTGTAAACCTTAGGTAGATTAATGTGTAGCAATGCATTTTATATATTTTATACATTTATTACATTTTATAAATTTTATATATTTTGTAAACATGTAACTGCAGCTGTGAGATAAATGTAGTGGAGTGAGAAGTCTAAGGTGGCATAATGATAAATATTCCACTAAAGCACATGTAGTGCTAATAAGGTCTGGAACTGCCATTCATGCGTCATTACGCACGCTGAACCTGTGGGGGCCTCGTGCGCTAGTAACAATAGAGCTTCTCCAAAAATAACCACACAAACACCTGTGCTTTTGTTTGCACTGAACTAGTCGTGCAATACTGGTTTGAGTTGTCGCCTAAATCACGGGGTGTAAATGAGCATTGGTGATGCATGACGCGCGCAGTCACAGCGTGACAGAAAAACTCTCACTCGGAGCTAAAAGATTTCAACAAACATTTCAGTACATTATGATTAGGCTATCAGAGTGATGACTGAAGACAGCGGCCCTGTCTGCAGGTCCAATAACAGCCAGACTCTTGTAGCACTTCATCTTCATTTGGGCTCAGAACAATGATCTGCTGCTGCGTTTTAGACGCGTTCTTACAGCTCACAAATGTTATATACTTTGAAATTATAAGGACCGACAACAGCTTCTGGTAAATTTCGATAAACAAACTGAACTATCCACACAGAACAGGCCCTGGTTTGTTGACACCTGTATGCCTACGTGCCTGCCAGGCCTACATTCTGACCTTAGCTCCAAAAGGTTCCATCATCTCCTTGGTGCACAATCAAATGTATATTTTTTGCATCATTCGAAAAATGGCCCAGGCGCCATCTTTTTATACCAAATTGTGGACGACAAATTTAGTAAATGTGTTGCTCTGAAACCAAACTAAGTGTGTATTCTAATCACTACACCATTATTAACACATTCCACGCCTGTCCTGCCATTTTTTTTATTTTTAATTTATTTTACACTGAGAAAACGTCGAGTGTATATCTGTTCCCATTAAAATTGTGTTTTTCAGAATGTTAAAATCATAAATTGCGTGTGTTTGTAAAAGCTGTGTGTAAAAAATGTCAAATGATATATAAGACATCATACCTATCCACCGCCTGACTCTGGCCAGCAGGTGCTCCTCCCCGGGGCGTCCACGATGGTCCATGTTTCCAGCAGTTTTGCACCGAACTAACTCGTGCGTAGTCCAAGTGGAAATGATCTACGTCACCGTTCGATTCCCTTGACTTTGCCTGACGCACGTGCGTACGATGAGAGGAGCTGGATGAACATGATAGCTATGTTTTCAGTCACTCCAGAGCCCACTGCTACTGGAAACAGAGAAGGACTAAACAATATGAAGGTCAGTTCAAAAGTATTTAAAAAACAATTAATTTTGAACAGTTACCAAATGTAGTGTTGCACAAGAACAGTTTTCATATCCGGATCTGTTAACACCAACTCTATAATGGCCTTAATTGCAAATGAAATTTGTGTACCATTGTGTTTGTAGCCCTGATCTTTTAGTTGAACCTTGTGAAATCTAAAGGCCAGATCTTTCAAATAATCAAATATGCTGAAAGCCTATTCTGGACATGGTGTTCACAAAAAAATAAAAAAATTAAAATTCCCCCACTCATCCCACTTTGGGCAGGTCTTATTCCTTCCTTCAAGCTTAGGTTCTCTACCATTGTTACCATTCCACCACACTTATCCAGTCCGAATGACATTCCGATGTCCTGGCTGTAGATCCTAGTGGTGTGGATCAGTGAGTTGATGTCTCGTTCACTCCTGGCATACAGCTTGATGTCATCCATGTAGAGGAGGTGGCTGATGGTTGCTCCATTCCTTAGTCAGTATCTGTAACTACTCTTGGTGATGATCTGGCTGAGGGGGTTCAGGCCTATGCAGAACAGCAGAAAGAGCATCTCTTTGGTGATGTTGACTTATCAGTTGGCTTGAAGATGGCCTCTAGGGTTGTTTCCCACATTCCCATTGAGTTCCTCAGTGCAGAGATTGGTATGTCTGGTCTTGCAGTCTCCAGTGACTGCTTTATCAACCAGTAGCTGGTGCTGTGTTACTGCCAATTCCTTTCTGGGCCCTGCTCATGTATTGAGCCATGTGCCTGCTCATCTTAGCTGCTATGATGACTGACAGGAGCTTCCATGTTGTGCAGTGCAGAGGTATTGGTATGTACTGTACTTCTTAGCTACCCCTTTCTTCATTACGCCTTTCTGCAATTTCAGTAGCTGGCTAACTTCTCTCTGTGTTGCCTTGATCTTCCAGTAGCTCAGTTCTTATCAGGTTGCCCTGGTTCCTCAGCACCTTGTTCAGCCGGGCGACGTCCGAGTTGGTGTGATTCTTGTGTCATTGCCAATGAGGTAGGTAGGTAGCATTAAGGGCCTTGCCTAAGGACCCACACTAGATATTGACCGCGCCCTGACTGGGGATCGAACCCCGACCTTCCGTACCAAAGTCAAATCCAGTCTGCATTTTAAATCGAGCCAGCGTCTTTTCTGGTCTCTACCGATTGTTACAGAGGCACCAAGATAAGGAAAATTTAAATGTAAAATATTTGTATAGAGCGCTTGTATTTTTTTAATTGTTAAAATGTGTTTGCGTGTAGCGACAAATTATTTTTATTTGTGCTCTGGTAATAGGTCGACTATTCCTTAGCAACAAATGGTGAGTTACAAATCTCTTATTGTTCCACATGTAGAGTTAAATATAACATTTTGTTAATTATGTGCCTATGAATAATGTCTGAACGAAAGGTATTTATGAACTGTTTTAACAAGATCTTAGTCTTAATGTGGATCACTATGCCATGTCTGTCTCTGTGGCGCAATCGGTTAGCGCGTTCGGCTGTTAACCGAAAGGTTGGTGGTTCGAGCCCACCCAGGGACGGTGTGTTTTTTTTTTTAATATTATTATAACTTGCACAGTGCCCAACTATCAAGTTATAAGGTAGAAACAATGTTATATATACAGCCTTTATTATTGTTATATCATGATAATTTGCCCATTTTTTCCTTCCCCAGAATCCACCCTTCACCTTGTCCTGCATCCGAGAGGGGGCATCATTGAGCCATCTCTGAAACAGCTGGCTAAGAAGTACAACTGTGACAAGATTATCTGCCGCAAGTACGTACACAAACCAAGCACACTGCCATATTATTGAGACTAAACATAGACCTCAGCTACCAGCATGCAACACTACTAAAGAACAGGAGGAGGAAGGATTGACAGTTTGATATCAGTCATCAATCAATGAGTTAATAAGGTCTTCACTAGACCAGAACACATTTATAATGTCATCTAATGAAACTATGTCTTAGAGCTGGAATTGTAGCAATATAAAGCCTGAATAAGCGGATTCAGTATTGGCTGCATGAAAAAAGTTGTACATTTTACTGATGGTCATTGGTGAAAATGACAGGGAAATGTTGTAGTATTATTTGGAACAAAACATTTTCTCCTTCATATTAGGTGCTGTGCTTGTTTGCATCCACACACCATCAACTGCCGTAAGAAAAAAAAGTGTGGCCACACCAGTAATTCCTTGTGTGTAACATACTTGGCCAAATAAAGGTGATTATTATTATTATTATTATTATTATTAACATTAGACCAAAGAAGAAGCTGAAGTAGCAGCTGGAATCAATTACCAATACTGTCAATAAAACATTTTGATAAGCAAGGCCCCTGAATGTTTGTCTGGTTCGTTTGATTGCATTAAATTTAGACCAGTGAAAAGGTTCTGGTTAGAGCTTGTTGTTTATCCTATGACAGCTGCATACTTTGTAGTCATGAGTTTGAAACGTTAAACCATATTGATTCTAACCTTATGGAGGCCTCACTGATTCCACTGTCCATTGACAACCTGAACTATTTAATGTTGTAGACCGATTTATCAATACCTTATCACACAAAGTCTGTTAGACATGACAAATGGGTAGGTAACTCAGTTATCTGTATCTGTGTTTTATTGGTAAAAGTGTAAAATGTGCCAAATTACAAATGAAGAAGAGTGTGTACACAGGCAGGCAAATTACAAATCATTCACTCTAGAGTTGGAAGCCATATTTTTTTTAAATAAACTATCTAGCTAATCTATGTACCTGAACTTTCACTTCAGGACTGCCCTGTTCACACCCACAAACTCCCTGCTGACATGGGGATTGAACTGGCAACCGGCCAATCACCATCACATTTCTCTAACCTTACATTGCAAATGCTTTCTATATCACAACGTCTGTAGGACCCTGTCAAGTAACTGGCAAATTTAAGTAGTTTCATATTATGGAATTTAAACCTAGGATCTTCTTGTTGGATCAATGATTCATGTTCTACTCACTGGGCTCCCTAAAGGTGAATCAGTTAAATAACCCTCTGAAACTATTTGGGTTAGTAAATGGTTAACACACAAAAAAGTACATTACAGTGACTGAGGTAATGTATTCTTTGCTTTTATTTGCAAACCGTCATGACAACAGCTCAAAGTTTGAGACAGAGTTGGTGTCATTGTCCACAACATCCTGAAAATAGAACAGTAAGGCTTGAAGGGATTAATACAAACATAGCATAACAGGCCTCGTTAAACAATACAGCCTGTGTGATATAAAGACTGTGAAGAAGACATTCTGGTTTTCACACAGCACAGCTGCACTCTCAAGGCCTAAGTTATAGCACTGTCCACAGCTAAAGTAATGTGCTGAAAAATGACAGAAGGCAGAAAATATCTCTTAAATTTCCTTAAATGGTGCACACCAATCAGAGCGACATGTCTATTAAGATGTGGCTCTATTATAAATAATTCACTAAGTTGGTGGTTCGTGAAGGGATGGTGCACAGGACGATTGTTCAGACCAGGCTAGTCCAAACATTACTAAGACAAAGTGATGACTTTACTTTCTTATGTTACCTAATTACCATAGCATTATTACATTAACTTACTTGGAAAACACTTATTTCCCCTAATTTTAACTGTATAATAAAGCCTACTTATTGCCATGTACTTAAGTGTTACTCTAAATTATTTGGATATGAAGGTTCCTTATGAGCTTAAGTGAAGATGTGATAATAGATGAGCTGCTGAAAGACCTTCTCAGTGACTCTGCTCCTAACATTTGGTCTTTGGTGTCAATATTCAGATCTACTTTTTAAGTTCAAGTTGCGTGTCCATGCCTTACCCTAATATCAAACACTATTAGCATACTATTTCACTGACCTTGAATATATGTCATTGCATATTGCAGTGGCAAACCACTACCTAGAAGCACTCTGCCCTTCATTATAGTTGCTACTTCTGCACAAATCAGTTCAGTAATAATTACGTTGTATGCGAGTTGTTAACTATGCACATTTGTCTCTAAATGGTAATTTTGTCTTTGCTTTTTTATTTGCATTCTCTTTTCGCTGCTGTTCTTTTCCATAGTGTGTGGACTCATTTTGTTGTAAAGATGTTTAATATGACCTGTCTGTTGCAAAATAAAAACAACAACAAAAAAAAAAACAAGGCCCCTAACTGCTCATATTGACACTGCATGTGTTTTTAACTAAAGTTATGAAAAACTACAAGCACCAGGTCCCAACATGAACTGTCTAGCACTGTTAAGCACTTACCTTAAAGATGGTTTATTGCATTGAAAGTTACCCTTGAAAGCAACATTAAGCGTTACATTAAACTGGACAAGCTTTACCATGTATATGCTGCCGCTGCTTTGGCAAACACCTACAGCATCCTGCTGAGCGCAGCAGTACACGGAGTACATGGAGTAACCTTCCTGCAGTTGAAGTGGTTCTTGTGCTTGAAGAGGACAGGGACCAGCTCCATGTTGTTGTGTTTACTCCCCCGCTGCCATGGCCACAACATATATAACCCTGCCTTCTGTTGCATCTCTCTCATGGATTGTGTTTTTGCTTCTTATTTCTCGAGGAGTTTAACCAGGCTCTGGCGGAGGTCGTTAAGGTCAAAGATCTTTATGTCCAGTATTTCAATGGCCCTCTGGATCTCAGTGTCCATGCGATCTCGCTCCTCCAGAGAGTTACTCAGGTTCTGCTCTGTGTTCTGGATGCGCCGCTCCAACTCTGCATTACGCATCTCCATCTCCTACAGAGAGCAGGAGTCATAGGAAGATGTTAAGTGAGGGAAATTTTAAAAACAAACAGTTAAATTATTAATTTAACTACTGATCATTTCATTATTACTCGATAAATGTGGTTGTTCTTATTCATTTATGAAAGCAAAACACACTGCTGTAATAACCACGACCCTACCCGAAATCTGCGTATGGCCTCATCCCTGGCGTGTTCCATCTCGTGATACTCTGCTTTCTTGCTTTGTAAAATATGGATTTCCTGGGGGGGAAAAAAATTAAAGGTACACTTGCGTTTGAGCAGCTAAATCATTCATAGTTGCCTGTGATCAGCACTGCAGCTTTCCTCCTCTGACTCCAGCTGATGGTAAAATGAGACAACCTCATCTTTGGCCTTCAGCAGGGCCTCCAGCTCCTCCAGGGACTGAGTCAGCTCATCCTTCAGCAGGTCACTGGGGCCTTGGGCTCCATGGGCCTCCAGATCTGCCACCTTACAACACATGCACGCAACAACAACACAGAATTAGTTCATGTTCAGAATATGAAACATGCCATCACATAAAAATGTTAAAGTGAATGTTTGGTGTCTCACATCCTCGCATAAATATGTATTCTTAAAAATATTAAGGCCTAGATGGCGCTTTTGGTTATTACCTACCAGGTACTACACAGAGAGTATAAATAATTTCTGAACTGTTGTGACTATATAGTGATTAAAAGTCTCTCTGATCAGCTGAGCAATATCTACTCCATGTTTCCAGCACTTCATTTAAAATGAGGGAAAACAGCATTTACTGTTTTTAGCCTAGATCATCCAATCCATCTGAATTCTTTAAAAACTTCACAAGACTCAAGACATTTTGTCTTGATGTTTTAATAGATGGTCTGCTCTATCAGGTACAGAGGAACAAAATCTTCACCCCAGTGTTATCTGGGCCCTGTGAATAAACCAACCAAACAAAAAGACTCTACACCACATGACCCCCAGGCATCTGAGACAGAGACAGGCTGGGTTATTTTAAACCGTGTATGGTTGAGACTAGGAAGAGGCCAACTCCCTCTGGTAATTTTTCATGTTTTTTTCTAACTGGGGCAGTGAAAGTAGGATATTGCTGTCCTACAAACCCCTCTCTATCTCACACCACCCCAGAGATGTGAACCATTTTCAGCCACCTGGCCCCCCTCCTCTGACAGAAGGAACAAGAACTTGGTCTAAAGGAGTCGGGGTTCTCACTTGTATAAAGTAATTAGGATAAAAATGGTAAAAAATGTTTCTTGTTGAAATACAAGACAAGTGTGTGAGAATTAAAAAGCAGTGATTGATACTGAAAATTCAGGCTATAATGGCAAGAAATCAAAGTATTAATGTGTTGAATCAGAGGAATCAGGTCCCAGCAAGTGTGAAAATACATTTTATGTATGAGTGGGGACAGTGAGGCCAAAGGCATCTGCATCCACTGGAAGCTGAAAGGTAAGTCAAGTGTAAAACCTTCCTGAGGTTCAGTGCGTTTTGACAAAACTCCCCTGTGACATTGTCACATGCACAGTGAACCGGTTTGACCAGCGGAGCCAACACCTTGATTTTAAAGCTTCGGAGGCAAACCGCCTTCAGCACAAGTCATGTCAAAGATCGATGAAGTGTGTTACCGGACTGACTAACTCGTCCTGTTCCATTGAGGTGTCAGAAAACAACAGGCCAATCAAAGCCAGCGTGACCTCCCTAGGCAGAGAAAGGCATGCGACTCAGCTGTTACTGAAAACAACAGATTGACAGACTGAGTCCTGTCAACCTCACCTTGTTCTTTTTTGGAAAGAAAAATATTTTTGACATAATGTATTAAATTTTTTATAATAAAAACATTTGGAAAATAATTAAACATATCATTTATGCAGCTCATATAAAACGATCCGCTGCACTGACTGACTGTATATAAAAGCTGGACTAACCCACAGTGATATCAAGGTTTTGAAGCTCAAGTTTGGCCATTGCCATACTAGTGGCACTTCACTCCACCTAATCCAAAACCTTGAGTGGAGCTCACTGGACAGCTAGCAGCTCCACCTGTAGCGGGACCCTTCTGTCTGTCACTCAAAGTGGCTCTGCCCTTAATTATGCATAATCTTTAATCTCAATATTATTTAAACAGGCAAATTTTATAAAAACTCACCCTCTGTCCAGTTGTCATGGGACAGGAAATTAGCTATAGAGACAAAAACCCACTTTTTATACCAGTCAGTGATCTGTGTGTGATCACCGTGGGGCGATCGTTTTCTTTTGCATTAATATTTGAATAATGGCCGATATAGTGTTCAAGGGTAATGACACTGAAGCAGGGTATGTTCAAAGTGCCTTCTGTGGCTGATTGTCACTGTAAAAACAATAGAGGCTCACCTGTTCTCGTAGCCTCTCAGTCTCCTCCTGATAGGCTGCCAGCTGTTTCTTCCACTGCTCTACATTAGCGTTAGCCTCGTGTAAAGCTGCCACCAACTTAGAGTTGCTGTCCTGCAGACCGAAGAGCTCAGCTTCCAGATTCATGTCACAAATAGACCTGAAAAACACATTTACAAAACTATAAAGCAGGGATTATATAATACATGAAACATATAATATGATAATGTATCATAACTGGCAGTATAGTAATAGTCAGAGTATGGAACGTGATGAAACACTGTTGATAAACACCAACCAACTACAAAAGTGTTAAAAATGTTGTACCAAGGACAGCAGCAGCACACCTACATCACAGACAGTTCCTATTTAAAGGAAATGAAACTAGTGACATGTCCCTAACAAAGGTGCATCATCAAACTTAAGGCATCTAGGATCATGAAGGAAGAGAGAACAAGTAAGTCATAGCAGATGTAGTCACCCTGGTTCCACAGAAAAATGTTGAGTACCATTATCTGTGTGGCTAATAGCTAAATCTTGCTTTTGACTGTGTGTATTTTGTCCCACTATACAGTATGAGACATTTATTCATATATAGTAAAGTACACTCAAAAACAGGCTTCTTTCCACTGTATGAGTGCATCTAATAAGCCACTTGATTCCACAAAATACATAATGGACATACGAGAACAATATCGGCTGTGTAGGCTACAATCTGTTGAAAATGTTAGTAAGACTGAAATTATCTTTGAGCCTCCCTTCTGTACTTGTACATCTAGAAAGCCTGAGGTTGTCCCATGGCAACAGGTCACCAAGGTAACCATTCAGAAGCCGCTTCCTGTCGTAATAATCGGACTGCAGGATATAAAATCATTATACAGTAGGTGGCTCAAAGACTGAATAAAGGGGTGTTTACAAGTCTCATTTGATGCTATGTACGAATCAACACCTAAACAATGGCCTCCTCGTTTCCTTTAAAACATACCGAATCCAGCGACATCCAACAAGTGAAGTCAAAACAATGATAACGCTCAGTGAACACTGGTGGGAAGGTGGAAGTTAAAGGTAATGGTCAAACTGCTCGAGGGCTACCAGTAGCATGGAACCACTATCTGAGGGGGGAAGAGACTTCGATGACATCACAAGGATTAATTTGTCTGTTAAACTGACTACTGGTACAAAACTGCACAATTACTACAATTATTTGTAGCTGAGGAAACCCATTCACTGATGAAGGCTATGAGATCTGGCTGAAAGCTACTGCTGTACTATGCAATAATAAACCCTCAAGATCAGTTCAATACATGTTTTTGAGGAGGAGTTAAAGTTTGAACTGTGAAAGTTTTTCCTCTTGTTTAAAATCAGACATCAAGTCTGAAATGTGTGTACAGCAAAGCAGAAAGAAACTGGGAGTTTACCAGGCAAGACTTTCAAAGAACAGTCCCCAGAATCAAAGTGAATTCTCAATGCCTACACAAAGTGAACACTTCACAAGGGGTGAACAGCAGCATTTAACCATTGTTACAAAAGGTGAGACTGGACTCAGAAAAGAAAGTGTTTGTGGTCACTTTGATTTTCATTCTATTGGTGTGTGAGTCACTGTGGGTGTGTGCAGGTGTGTGTGTGTGTGTGTGTGTGTGTGTGTGTGTGTGGTTACCCTTCAGAGAGCATCTTTTTAATGCGCTCCTTCTCAGAAGACAGGGTGATGTCCGCGCTCTGGCTGCGGTACAGCTTGTCCTCCGGTCCATTCACACACATCACTGGTGGAGACTGAAGTTCATCCGAGAGGTCCTGAGAAACTCATCAGTAAATGGACTCCCCCACCAACGTGCACAGCATTACAACAAAACACAACCTCAGACGGGAAAGAGACTGCTCGGGAAGAATTACTTCCAGGCCAGAAAATCCCATTCACATCAAAAAGTCTAGCAGTCCTGAGCATGCACACACACACACACACACACACACACAATCTTAAAATGGATAATAAATAGCTTTCTCTTTTCTGTCTCAAGGTGATGTCAGCTGTATTATCAAGATATTTTGCATCTCTCTGTGGTTTCAGGATTCAGAAGATACAACAGCAAAAGACTCACCTGTGAGTACTACAGGGGAAATGCATCAGGCAGAAAAACAGGCAAAGAAAGATGTCAACACAAAGAATACTATCCATTATGGCCTTCTCAAAATATCACAGTCCTACATAGCTGTCCGATCAGTTACGCAGCACAGCGCAAAAATCAAGTACAATTAACTGAAGCAATTTTCTACAGCTTTGACTTCTCCATCGTGTTCGTTCAGTCGATACAAAGTGAGAGACACCAGTTGGAAGCTGTTCAGGTGTAGAATTAAAAGGAACTGGGCATGTTTCTCGTGACTAGGCAGATATAACGGATATGTATTTATTCTCTATTGATCAGAACTGGCCTGAGCTGACTGCATTTTCATCACTAGTGTTTGAGCAGTGGTTAAAAAAAAAAAAAATGCAGATGAGGTACATGGGATAATTTTACCTCGTCCTAGTTTTCCTCACTCTCATACTTCCCTCTGAGACAAGTGACCCAGCTCATCTTGATTCTGCCTTTCTTTCTTTTCTCAGTCCTTCCTCAGATTCAGTCTAACAGCTGAAATGCAGCACCGATGCTTTCGTCTAACTGTGGTCTGTGCTCACACTGCCTCAGTCAATTTTAATCTCAAAATGTGTTACTGTATAATTATGCATATCATGACTAAGTTTTCACATTTACGCTTTCTGCCTGATACCTGCAGAACCATGCTCTACTTTCTCATCTTTGTCTTTTTTATTGGAGCTCACCTGAGGAGCAGCGATGGTAAGAGCTGTGTTGACCAGTTCTTTATCCTGCGACTTTCCTCGTGCCAAACGAGCGGCATCTTTCACCTCCTTGAACTTCTCCGAGAACTTTTCAAAAGAGAACCAGTGATGTGTTGTTTCCGGTAATAGAACACTGATAACACAGCACTAGTGCTTTAACCACTACTAGTTAGTTAAGCTTTACTTATACAGTAAATCCTGTTGTGATTAGAATCGATTTTGGAATCAAGACCTGAGAATAAATTACATTAATACAAGATCACAACAAGACATTTCATTCACCAAAATAAGCATCACACACACAACTACATTAATTAAAACATTCACAAATATTATTAGCAATATAAGTTAACAAAGATTTAAAGCCAGTCAGAAGGATGAGTGTCTCTTCAAACTGTGCTCGTGTTCATTCCAGTGGTATGTGTACAGTACCAGAAAACCAGTCTGCCCCAGTATGAGGAATTTTAAAGCAAATCTATCATTTGATCTGGTGTCAAGATTATATACAGTATTTATAATGCGCTCAGTTAGATCTCCATTTGGACAATGGATCAGCCTAATCACTCATTCTGTCTGTTTGGCGTTTGGAAGGACCCTTAGTAAACTGAGTGGTCTTCAGGTCATCAAAGGCAGCCTGTAACCTAAAGAAAGGCTGGTTTGTATGATTAGCAGTGAAAATGTGCATCACAGGGTTGAGCTGGAAAATAGCTATTTATGTAGAGACTACGCCATAAATAGCGGTGGGCTTAATATTGACTCCTGAGGGACCCCTTTATCAGCCGACTAGGGACTTGATTTGAAGAACATCACACAGAAACTAGATGGATGTTCAAAATGTTGTGATCAGTGGTACCAAAAGTCTTGGGCAAATCTACAAAGAGCACAGTGCAGTGCGTTGCTTTTACTCAAACTGGTTAACAGGGTCATCCACAACAGCAGCACCATGACATGACACAATGAAATAACTATTAAAGGCTTCAACCATGTGCAGTTCGATTTTCACCATTACTGACTGGTGTGAGCAATGTGGAGGACTTGGTCTTAAACATTTTACTAATTTCCAGAAAGTGATTCCATTACCATTCTACTTTATGAAGGCAAATGGATTATAATCAAACTTGAATTTTCTTATAAAGGTGATGACATTCTATCAGTCAGTGTTTGTGCTCTTCAAGTTCAGTTGACCTTAGTCTAATTTACCTGATGCAGCTGTTGCTCTGTAGCAAAGCCCAGACCATAGACAGTGTTGGCCCTGCTGTCAGCCCACTGACCGAACTTCTGGGACGTCTTAGTAAACGTCATGCTGGGGGTAACAGTGCAGTTGATAATCGCCTGCAGACGCAAAGATAACAAAAGCAATCATCCCTTTAAGTGGGTTTTAAACACAAATAAAACAAACCCCTGGGAGAAATAGTTCAGATGCAGACCAAGGAATACAGACAAAACAAACTTAAAGGGAATAACCAGTATTAGTAGTAGCACTTTTCATTACGAGAGAAAATTATTATGGGGAAAGGAGGCCAAAAAGGAGGTTAGACAGAAAATGACAACTTTTTCTCACCCCAGATACAAAGAGCAGCTGGGATTTGTTAAAATAACTGTTTTATGTTTGTCAGAACTATGTTACTGTCCAAAGAAAATACTGCTAATGATGAAGAGGATACAGTTCCTAGCCTCACTATTTTAACTAAATATATCACTACACTACAGCAGGGCTGGTTTCAAACACACTATAGCATCTTCTGTTCACGCAGCAATCAAGTGCAATGGCAAACAAATAGATAAACTATGATGACAAAAGCATCAAATGTGGAATAGATTATGTACTTTTTTTAGATCCTCCCTCACAGGCATCAGTTCAAATTCATATATGAAGGTTTGTCTCATATGTTTTTAATCATTACATTATTATACCTGATGCAGAGATGCGTCTTATTAGTTTACCTAAAACGTCACTTCTTTTTGTAAACAAAAATTTTAAAGGGATCATTTTTTTCATAAACCAAAGCTCTAACACATCACAAGCTCCTCTTGTTCAAGTTAAATTCAGAACTGAGGCTAATTTAAATCATATTTCTGTGAAAGAGAGGGAGAGCTGTAAAGAAACACAGCTCATCATTCAGGTTTGTCACCTCATGAAAAGCACATCTTTTCCCCTGAGCACATGAGAATAAAAACTAGAACAGATCTATTTTTAAACCATTTCCATCTTTACACTAATGAGATCTATTTAAAATCGCAGAATTGCAGGACAGTGTCTTCTTATTGGGGAGATTTTTCCCCCCTTCTTTCCCCTCCCACAAATTATTATATAAACTCTACAGTTTGCTTTTCTGCAATGACGTCGCTGAATGGTTGTAGCAGCAGTGAAGATTACTCTGAAGCCAGATGCCAGTCCTGGTAGGATTGGGCTGCTGAACGACCAACTGCCGCCTGGTGCTGCCTTCTGGTAGGCAGAAATGTGGGTCAGACCAGAGGTGCTAAGATGAGATCAGATAGACCCCCTTCCCCCTCCACTGTGCATGACGTGGCCTCTTCTGCACAGTCTAAATCCACAGGCCTGCAAGAAAGACGCTCTGGCTGCAGATTCTTTGACACCAACTATGGTTTTGTTCATCACATATCAGCCTTGCAGATTTTCTGTTGGGACTATGGTCGATGAAGAGGAAAATCAATGTGAAGCTTTGTTTGGCCTGTGGTTTTGTCTTCAAGGACCTCGGCAAAGTAGAACTTCAGGATATTATACAGTATAAAAAAATCCCTTAGAAATAGTTGTTTTAATTATTAAAAATACATGGTTCACATTTGAGTTTTGGATATCAAATCTACAGAAACTCTATGTTGTTTTAGTTTCTTGGTTGAATTTACAACTGTCAGCTTCATCACCATTCGATTCGCTCTCACCTTGGTGCCACCCACACTGATGATGCGGTAGACACTGCGGTTGGCATCATAGAAGAAAGACACATTGACGGCATGCTTGCTGGCAGGGATCCAGTTCCTCTTGGTGGCAGGGTCGATCTGGAAAACATGAGCCCGGGTGCTGAAGATCGGCTGATCCCTGGAGGAGCAGACACAGGGATTATGAGGGGCCATGGCAACAAATGTCTGATATACTGTATAAGGAGTCCCTCTGCAGACTTCAGGTCTATTAACAGTGATTTGAGTGAAGAGTAGGAAGCTTTTATTTTTTAATCTTTAAAAAACAGATAAAATGTGTTTCTGGTCATGATTTGAGTATTTGAATCATTAAAATGTCTTCATTACCCTCTTTTGCCTAACAGGGGAATCTCCTTTTTTTTTTTTTAATAAAGGACAACCTCGTGGGTCTCTGCCATCTGGGGACAGATGTTGGAATCATCCTTTGGCTTGCTCCTACTTTTTCCTGCATCATTCACCAGCCATACAGAGCTGTGACCTAGCTGGAAAATAATGCTGACAAAAACACTGAACCTTCTCCTGAGAGGTTCCCACTCCACCCTCTGCAGAGATGTATCCTGGATACGAGGTAAATATATCAAAGCAACAAGGTAATTAATGTTGGGGGGTGGTTTAGCCGTTATCATGTGGTATCAATGGCAAGACTGTTAAAGGTCTTTCTCTCTTCATAACTCCCTACTTTGTCTTTAGCTGCCCGGTCAATACATGCACCACATGATGTATTCCTTCACTTTGATATAAAATAAAGCAGAGCACATTATGTATGACAAAACTGTGACAAACAGTTGTGTCAGTCTAAACATGCAGCCAAATTTCACTCTGAAATTCACAGAAGTGAAAAATGTTTTCCTAATCAAAGTCTACAGCCACACTAGCACCATGCTAACATGCTCACAACGACACTGCCAACATAATGTTTAGAGAAACATGGCTAAAAACAGTACAAGTTATGACTGATCTAATCATTGGCATTGATTTCCTCACTCTCATCTTCGCTGCCTGCCTCCATGTTGTCCAAAAGAGTAGACAAATTAATGTATGGTAAAAACCAGGACACTTCTTCTTTTATGCAGTATTGTAAATTGCAATATCTGTTCCCAGTAGAACAGTTTTATTTTGGTCAGTCATTGTACATTTATATCTGACCCCATTAGTGACTCACAAAGTCTCTAGTGTGTGTGTGTGTGTGTGTGTGTGTGTGTGTGTTGCTCACTGTGGGAGATCATGCTACAAGGAAACACTATATGGACTTATACATACACAGTGTTTCAGTGAGTGCAAAAGTGTTGATCTGAACTTCAGTCTGATAGTAACCAGCAGCGTAACAAGTATTCTCATCCCACAGTAATCCCCACTGTTGTCAGTGGATCTGCTGCTTCACTTCCACAACAACTGATACACGATCTGAGGTCTGACTGGGAGAAGATGCTGGGATGATACTGGGAATGAGATCTGTGCTTTAGCTAATGTGACTTCAGACAATGCCAAGAAGATGCCATACACGTTTGTCACAGTAGAACATGTATTATAGCACGTTTTGCTTGAAGAATTACTTAAATGATTAACTGATTATCAAAGTAGCTGCCAATTAATTTTTGTCTTTGAGAAAGTAAGATGCAGATTAAGGCGTCAGATGAAACGGGGTAAAGGTCCCTTACTCAATTATAAAGTTGTCCCATTACTGCCAGGCTTTGACCTTACCTGAGGTTTGGCGTCTGTGCGCTCCATCTGAGCAACATGCACAGCTCACCAACACAAGATCGAAAAGGAATGAAACCTTTAACCCCCTGAGGTGGACACACTTTCTGTTGAGACACACTGAGGTGGTGCGCATCTGTGTGTGTGTGTGTGCGCGCGTCTTCTTTTAACTGGACAGCAGTCAATCACTTGTCAAGAAGCTTGGTCTTCATCCTCAGCAGATGGAGTTGGCCTCTATGGCTTAATGGGGCTCTCTAAGCATAACAAAGCCTGACAGTGACTGCATGGGGGCGGCGCTGACTCCACTAATTCCTACCACGGTTTATAATATCCACAATCTGTTTGTGCTGTGATCTATCTAAATTTTACACACAGGTCTTTAACATTAGAAAGAAAAGGAAAGTGGCTGCTTGCAACTATATAATCTTTAAATAATCCATCTAAAACCAGCAGTGCAACATGTAGCATTTTACAGAAATAAGACACTGCAACAAAATAACAGGTGATTTCAGTGCACCCTCGGTTGTTACACACATACTTAACAAATCAGAGATAAGACTTTATATTAATTAGAAAGAAATGAGCAGCTTCTCAGGCTCATGCCCGCCCTGCTCTGCTCTATGATCACTCCTTCCCCCTTTTTTAAGTTACAGCATTAAGAATTATGGATCAAATCATCTGAAAACTCTGGGGCCACAAACATTACAGAAGACAAGAGTCTTAATTTAACAGATACATCAAGTGTGAAATGATCCTTCTGAGAAACCAGAACACTGCTCCAGATGTGCTGAAGAACAAATGACATCAGAGGACTGATGCTGCATGTCTCCAAATTCTTAATTCTGCATTGCAGCATTACTACAATTTCTCTTACTGTATACATTTTCATTTATTTTTTTCCTAGAACACAGTTTCTTGTTATGAAAGGAAGATCAGGTTTATGTGAAGCTGCATCCCAGTGTCATTAATCAAAATGTCATATGGGGAAGAAAGACAAATTCAAGCTGGTAAATGCTCAAACTCAAATGTTCTTACCTTTCTCTGTGGTGAGGAAACATCTTACAAGCCGAGCCAGACTTCTTTTCTGTAAAGGGAGAGAGAGTAGAAGCTGTGCAGCCACAATCCCAACAGGTATTTAGTCTTGGTCCAAATTAGAACAGAGAAAACGATGGCTGATGAATGTGAAAGGAGTTTGTCTCGCTGGCTTAACAAACTTTTTGCCTTTCTTTTTTTTAAATGAGAACACAACCAAGCCAGTCTTACCCCATTTCGGTGTAAACCCCGTTGACTCAGTGTTATCTGACACTGCTGCCCCGGTCAGTCTCCTCTTTCCGTCACTCGGAGCTACAGGAAGCTTTATTCCTGCTTTGTTCTCCAGGGGGGAGCTTTCACTACAGGCTGCAGCGGGCACAGTGTCAGCTCCGTCCCGTCCAGGCTACGGGCTCCGCCGATCACCTCTGCGGAGCGCGGACACTCACAACCCGGAGGAAGCCAAGCGGCTGAGCTGGAAGCCTGAACACCCACCTGTGTCCATTTTCGATCGGGGAAGATCCAGCTGGTCTTTACTTGTTCAGACGTCGTCCTGGTGGTCGCTGCTCTCTCCTGTTCTCAGCACGTCCACAGGGGGACACGGCGGGCGGTACAGTACCACCTGCTGGCTTCGAGCAGCCTACAGCTGCATGAGGCGGTGTGAATGGGAAAGTGTGTCAGCCTGTCTGCAGCCACCAGCTGGGCTCACTGATGACTGGATCGTGGATTTAACAAAAATATAGTCCCGAAGGAAAAGTCATGACCCAAAAAGACTTATTCATAGTCCTACTAGAGCCCATTATAGCTGTCACAGATATACAGTTTTTATCAATTTTATATCTACGAGATCAGCCCTGCAGTACTGGATGGGTTTAAGAGATTTACATACTAATGAAGAGGCGGCTAGTCTGTCAATGCATCTGGGAGACAAACAACAATAAAGTCAAGTCGAAGGAGCAAAAAGAAGCAAACTTTAATTTTCCAGCATTTTTAAAAGGAGAATCTTCATGAGAATAATTTTCTTAATTATTAACAGTGGGCAGAAAAACAAAACAGTGCAAAACACCTATTTCTTACTTCAGTTTTAAACAGTAATAAGCCTAATAAAGACCATCAAAACAAAAAAATGAAGATTATAAGGGGGAAAAAAACTTAAGAGTCAAAGCACATGGAAAACTATACGCTGTTAAAGTGAGGTGGTTAGTTACAGGTGACTGTGCTGCTTTATGAGAAATGAGATGCCATCGCTGCACTACATGGTCGTGTGTATGGAGGATGTAACAAATCAGCAGTGATACAGAAATAAATATAACTTCAATGTCCTGCAGATGATCTACTACATGCACAGCTGCAGGTGCCCACAAACTGACTTTAATTACTTAAGGTGGAAACCAAAAGAAAAAAAAAGACATTTTGCAGAAATGCAGGTTCCTATGGCTGCTTTTTGTCTCTGTGCCAGTCAGAGCACTAGGAAACAAGCATTAAAAGGAGGAAATCATCAGTATTTGAACCAAATGACAAAAAAAATTAAGGTATCACACAGAAAGTGAAGGTTAGTGAAAGTGAATGAGATATACTGACTGAAAATAAGCTGCATGGACAACACCAAGTCACAAAGTCCCTCTAAAGCATGTGAAATGACACCACCACATGCATGCAACACACTTTAGTACTAAAACTAGTACACAAAGTTCACTGAAGTTAGAAAACAAACAGTTCTGTCCTTCATATGACACACTACTGTATATGACAGCCTCACTCCTCTCTTCTATAAGCTTAAGACTTTAGGACAGCAATGATTGAAAAACTAAGGGAAGAGACACGAGGTGTTCTCTGGACTCATGTCCTGCCTACACAGAGATTACAATTATGCTATGCCTTAATAATTTAAAGCTGTCTTCATTGTGCACATACAACATATAGGCTCCAATTCTGTAATTAGCAGACTTTCCAAAATCCACCTGAAAATAATTTTCACCAAGGTTCAACATGGTGACCGGGTTTTTCTTCGACATACTTGTTCTCAGATGGGGCCTCTGACGTTTTCATCCTCCTGTGGTGAGCAGTCAAGTCAGGTACATCACAACAGAAAACTCGAGCTCACGAGTTCTCTTATAAGAATGATCATTTTACTTTACTGTGACGATGAGGTGCTTAAACTGCACCTACAGTAGCTGATCTACTTGTATGCATGTTTGACTACTGACTTTAAAGCAAAGGGTCTTTAGAGAGTACTTCCCTCTTGATTTTTCTTATTTGATGCATTATGCTAGCTTTAACGGCTTTAGGATCAGCAGAAAAGAACAAAAGCTTTATTCAGTTATAAGCTGGCTATGGGGCTTTCACTGTTCACTCTGTCGCACTACTAAAAAGATACATTTACAGGAACAAAAACAACACTGTCTCCCTATATGCAGATCTTCGGAGCTGTCCTGATCAGATCTGGAGACAAAGATGTTTTTCTTTTATGTTTCTATTTGTAAGAGCTAATTCCACCACTTCTTCTCTGCAGACCACCTTGAGAAAGACACGCTTCGAAAGACGGCTGACTACAATAGCTTACATCACTGAAAACAGTCTTTATTCTGAAAACTTTCCAACTCAAAGCTGAGGAAAAAAAAGCAAATGATCTGTGGGTATGTCATCCTCAAATTTCATTTCAACTCTCTGAGGCACAACACCATGAGCACTTTGGAGTTTGCCCAAATAGCCAAACAGTGTTTTCACTCTCTTGTTTCCTGGATGCTTAGATGTGACCAAATGCAGAGCCTTGATTTAAGCTTTGAGTTTTAAAAAGTTGCCATGTCAACTGCTTCAATAATTGTGTCCCCTTTAGTTCTCTCTCTCTCTCTAAGTCACAGAAGACGTCCTGTTGAGTTAGCCTGGAGGACTTTGTGTGAGATTCCTCTTCTCCATCTTTCTCAGCTTTTGGAGCAAGATTCCCAACCATCCCACCTGGAGATCCCTGAGGGTTCAGAGGTACCTGAGGGACAAGTTGACACAGTTGCCCCTCTCTACCCACCTCCACCATCTATCTACTGGACATTCCACCCTACTTGACTTGTCGAAGGTCCCACCTCCTCCACTGCGCCGCCCCGACAATGACAGCTTTCTCCTTTGCCATGTCGTCACGTGTGAGCAGCAGCGCCTTCTCTCTTCTACCAGCCTCTCGCCCCGCTCGCTCTTCTCTTGCTCTCTTCCTGTCCAGCTCTACTCCCATTTTTGCTCTCACTCTTGTGATTGGTTGGATTCTCACGGTCTCTCTCCGTTACTTTCACACAGTGGTGCTTCGGTTGTAGCAGTGGAAAACGGGTATCCATGTTTGTTCTTTTTTGTTATTACCCAGATTAAAATACCAATGAACTAAGCTTCACAAAGGCCCAGCTCCTTTCCAGCAACCTGTAAATATATATCAGCCATTAGTCATTTCAGTAGATTACGAGTTACTTTTCATTCATTTAAGGTCACATTTCACCAGATAGTGAAATACACACTTTTTGCTTTCTTGGTGAGAGTTTGAGACCTCGATAACGCGGCCATATCTGTACATTAAATATGAAGCTACAGCCAGGAAACTGTTAACAGGAGCAAGCAGTTAGCCAGGCTTCCACTGATCACTTCAAAATCCAACTACCAGCCCCACCAAAAATCATTAACTAACATGTATCTCTCATATTCTGTTTGTTTAATCAGTCCAAAGGCCAACTTTAAAATTAGCAGGCAACAGCTGTCCATCCATTTCTTGGCTAGAAGCTGTGGCTTCCTGAAGTCTCCACCCAGGAAGGTCACTTCTCCAGGCCGATAAAAAGTCTGGCACATAGCAACGTATCACTTTGACACCTTCATTTTTGAACAGAACAAACCAGAAATACCATGTTAATTTGGGTTTTAGAGATGCTGTTTTGTTATCTTTGGACCAAGCTCAGCCTTTCCTGCCTCAGCTTCATATGTAATGAACAGAGATTTCTCTCATCCTCAGCAGGGAAGTGAAATAAATATTTTTTCCGGTAATGTCTTTCAATTTCAGTGAGTCAGAATAGACAACAGTGGAATGTCTTACAGTCTAGTACTGGGACAGTCCAGTCACACCACCATGTTGGTAGGCCCGCTCCCCCTGGTAGGTGGAGTCCTGGGACAAGGCCACATCAATCTGGGACTTGAACTCATCTCCTAGGTAACTGTCCTATATAATGGGACAAACAAAAATTATTTCTTCATTTCTTTCCAGGCAGAAAAGTAATGTGGTTTTAGACCAGTTCAAGTTTTTACTTGAAGAGGAAAACTGGGCAAGACCTTGGAACATACTGTATGTGCACACAAACCTGGCACTGGACAGTAATCGCAATGAATAAACAGACTACAAACTGCTTGCCACATGAAGTGCACCTACTTAGCACTTCATCAACTCTCTTGAATGCCAAATTTATGATAAAGATGATGATGATTTATTCCCAATAAATGACAGTGCAGTGAACCAACCTGGGAAAGTTCAGGCTGGGAGAGCCCCGGCTGACTCATCTGCGACGGTTGGCTCATGTTGATGTAGCCCTGTGTCAGAGGCCCCTGAGAGAAGGGCTGGGAGCCCAGGTCCTGGCTGGCCTGGCTGCCGCTCATGTGTCCTCCATGTCCACGATCTCCTCCTCCATTCCCTCCACCATGGTTCCCCGTGTTGCCACGGTTCCTTTGACGGCCACCTCGGGCCCCGCCGCCCCCTCCGCTGCCTGCCTTGCCCTTCATACCTCCACCACGACCTGCCAAGTCACGACAAGTTTTTTCTAACTGCAAAATACGGGGGCCTTTATGAACTATGCAGTTAGCATAGTTTTCACTGTTTTGTATCATTCTCACCTGCTGTGGGCCCATTCACCTGTCCCATGTACCCAGGGGGAGGTACGGGTGGCATCACAAGGTTGAATGGGATGGGGATGTTCATGGAGGTCATGGGACTGGAGCCTGTGCCAATCATACCAATCTGATCATGGGTCTGGAAATACATATTGGATGCACGCCCTGTAGCAGAAAGAAGCACATGTTCATTTTTCCTCCTTTGAAATTATCTGGCTGTGTGCAGAGCTACTTCTGTCACGTCACAGCTCACATGGCTCTTTTTGCAGTTAATGGTAAATGCACACCCTCATTCTGCTCTAGTAGCAGATTTTAGTAATGCAACCGAGGAGTGGGGGAGCAACATGACCTCATTGCTACATAATAGGTGACGTGTTTGGACAGCATAGGTCAACAAAATTCTATGTGATTATATGTACAGCTAAAAATAATAATTTAGTGTGTAATTACCCTTTAAGATACTTTAGTAAGGACATTCAACTTGTTTGCAAATAACTAGCAATGCAGATATGGTGCCTGTCTTTAGAAAGCTTCTAACAGCGTGTTTTCAAAATGACTCACCATTGCTGCTGCGGTCATAAACAGATCCAGGAATAAGGGCCTCCCTGGCGTCATACATTGCTGTGCTCATGAATCTACCCCCCTGTGAAAGACGACAGAAGAGAGTTTTTAGGCCACAACTCATTCATTCTTGCATGAACACTGATTTATTACCCTTGTTTTGTTAAACTCCTTTTCCTCTTTGCATTGACAAATATTGAAGTGCATCCTATAGCCTTCATGCAGCTTAGTGGAAAAACCCCATGACCCAGTGAAGAAACAATGATTTCAGTGTTCTACATGTTCAGTGTGTTCAGTGCCTGAACTCACT